GATCGCGCGCCCGGTGCCGCTCCTGAGGCCTGGCCCTGTGTGAGGGTCTTCTGAAGGTTCAGTTGCAAACCATATCTCTGCATGCACAGGGAACTTTCTGGGAATAGAACCCAAAACTGCTGACCTGTGCTTACCTGGGCCTAAATGTCAAGTGGGAAGGCTAAGAGAAGTCCTACTCTCCGTGCAGTTCTGCGCTGTTTTGATTTTTTTGCAGCAAATACGTATTTGTATATTATCTTTGTGACTTTGTAGCTTTAAAAGTTCATTTCCACTTTATAAAAGAATATCCAAAGTTATAACTGATATAACTGTGTTTCTCTGTTACCACAAAGCAGTTATGTCCGAAAGTGCTTTCAGTCCCACATTAAATATGGTTGCAGGTAGCCTCTGAGGGACGAGGAGAACGTCACAAGTCTGGTTTACAATCACCATTTTCCCATCGCTCGGGTCACTGCTTGGGGGAATGGCCAGGCACACAGACGGGGTGGGAGGCTCTGGAGAAAAGGTGAGCTGGAGGGAGTTGGTGGAGCTTGGTTGGAACAAGAAGGGAAGAGGCACAGGACAGCACAGGTTTATGCTTAAAAGGCAGGAATGTAACAGGAACTTGGATAAATCTGCAAGTAGCCTTCAACAAATAAGGAAAAGGAAGCAGGTGGGGACCCCGCTGGTTCTCCCCATGGCAGAGACCCCGGGACCTCTGGGACTGCCTCGGCTATGTGCCCCTGTCCTAAGCAAGGGAGGGGTACAGAAGAGACCGACTCCAGCGGCTCCTCCACTTCTGTAAGGCGCAGTGCTCAGAACAGGCCTCAGACGCCTTCGCTGGGTTTAATTCCTAGTTCTCCGCTCAAGCACCACGGATCACTCCAAGCCCTGGGGTCCACCCGGTAAAATCCGGACGGTCGCAGATCCCCCTCAGAGGAAGGTGAGCCACTCCCAACACAGCGGCGGCACAGGACTCCTAGGAAACATGGGTCTTCGCTGTTGAGGACACTGGTGAAAGAACTTCACAAAATGATGAAGTACGAACAGGAGGATGATGTCAGGTCATAAGAAAGTTTGGAGGAATCCTGGAGAAGTGAAAAATGGAGGAGGATCGCACCTTGGCCCACCACACTTCTAAGCGGGTCTGACCCAGAGGTTGAGCAGTGTCTGGGGCCCAGTCCAAGGGCTGCATCCATGAGGCGGGGTGCAGCAGGACCTAGCTCTCCTGTTGCACTGAGAATTGAAATAGTTGACGTGCACGCAGCAGTTAGAACATGGCTCTCGGTAAGTCTGTTCGCAGCACCAGGAGGCGCTACCACTGGTGATAGATGCTTGATGATTGCTCACACAGCGCGTGGTTCCAACAGAACTTTTCTCATCGCGAATGTTAGCCAGGAACCTGCTACGCAGAATCTGCGACTGACACCCTGATTTACCACTTCACCCTTACCCAGGTATGTCCATACCAGAGGGACACCCGCAACCCCCACCCATATCAGCCACCTGAAGGGGACGTAGGACGGCCAGGCTAGGTGCTGGTGCTGGCTCTCCTTTTTCAGGCCTGGGTGTGAATGTTTATCATCTAAACTGAGGCTGGCCAGGGCCAAAACAAGCTCATGCATGCAAATCTCCTGCCGCGGACTTCACAGGCCGCTTTTTATAAACACCATCAGTGGAGGTGTAAATACTTTGAAGCAATTGACTTCTGCTTCTGTGAACCTCCCTGCAGCCCTCTTCCCAGCAAACGAAGTGGGCACAGCAAAGTGTCTGAAAGTGCTCCAGAGCAGTGTCAGCCCGGCATTGACCTCGGAGGGCCAGGGCTTTGCGGACGGTTCTGTTTATGCCTCTGCCCCTACGTTACAGTGGTATTTCAATAACAAAGAGTTCCATCAAGCTCCCCCCAAGACCACCATTATTTATTTTACCCTGGTTACTAGAAACAGAATCTCAACAACAAATAATCCAGTATTACAAATGTTGTCCAAGAAACATCAAGAACTTCATCCCTGTATCAAAGGAATTTAGGAAGATAAATCCAGGTGGCAAAGGGTCTGCGGACCATGTGAGAGAGGGCCGAGGGGAGGGCTGGGGTCCTGCCACCCTCAGTAAGAACTTTAGTCCTGCTCACTCCTCCAATGCAGTACTGAGAACAACAAGAACTTTCTGGAAACTTCTCTCTCTAGGCTTTGTAGGGAGAGCCAGCACCACCAGTTTTCCTGGGTCACTGTTCACCGTAACCAGACAGGCTCTGTGAGTCCTTCCGGGCCATCTTTCCCTGAGGGGCCTGTCGGGAGTTCTCCACGGAGTCTGCCAGCCGTCCCTGTTTCCCCTCAGCCAGGGCAGGATCAGTTTCCCAACTCTGTGGGAATTTGCCCACAAACTTGTTCGTTTGCCCAGAACATAGATTTGTTTTTTCCCTCTTGGGGTATAAAAGGAAATGTTAAAATCCCATTTTTCTCCTAAACAAGGGGCTCTCTGTGAACACGCCCATGGCTTCCAAACCTGGGAGCTAGAGGCTGGGGGAGGACTGCGGACCGTGGGCCTCCAAACTGTGGGCACAGTGAGAAGCGGCAGGGCCGGGAGGCTCCGCCGCCCCTGCGACCGCGCAGCGGGGCGGCAGCCGGCAGCGGGCTGGGCGTGGTTTTGATCTGAGGCCGGGAGGAAACTGGAAAGCCAGACTTCACGACAGATACGGGTCTGGTTGTTTGGAAGACAGACTGGCAGTCACCCCCACCCCGCCGCCTGGACGTCTCTGTTCCGGAGTGGGGCTGGAGGCCAGCAGCAGCCGGCTGATGGCAACAGCAGATGTGGCCTAGCTGTGCGTGGGGCCGAGGGCCAGGGAGGAACCAGAGCCAGCGGCAGACGGGAGATGGGAGGTGGGCGAGCAGGCCGAGGCCGGCAGAGGGGCGTCTCTGGAGAAGCTGGGACCCGCAGGCTCTCCCGGAGTTCACGCATCACAAAGACCGGATCTGTCGCCTCAGAGTTGGGCCAGTGGCTTCATTCCTCTGAGCCTCCTTTCCCTTTTCTGCAGAGTACTAAAGATGGGGGAGAGTTGTGGGAAATGTGCACTAGCTCACGCCCTCCCCCAAAGCTGCGCCCGGCACACAGGCTTTCAAGACATGCGGTAGAAGCAGTCCTTGCGCTGTGTCTGTGGTCCTGAGCAGGAAACGAATCCCTGAGCTTCAGGTGCTCATCTGTACAGTGGACTCTCCTTGCCTTCCTCAAGATTCAGACCGCTGAAGGAGAATGTGTGTCATCTGGCCGGTTGTAAATGTTCAGTAAATTCAAACCCTTTCCCCGCCTCCGGGGCTCTGTTCCCCAGATACACACACACACATCCCTGCCTTCCCTCGCTAGCAGGCCGGGAGGCGTCCCCAACCAGGAAGGAGAGGCCTGTTTCTCAGGGCCGGGGGCTGCAGTTTAGAAATTTTTAAAAGGAGAGAGGATTACATACAGAGATACTAATAATGAAAGACACGAGAAAAATAATGAAAGATGAAGCCAACTTCACAGAAAGAAGACAGGTGCATCGTAGAACCACAAACTCTCAAATCAGCCTGAGACCGGGCAGAGCCAGGACTTGGTAGTTTCCAGCTGCACCGCTGTCCCCGCCCCCAACAAGCCGCTCGCCCCTCTGGATGGACTAAAGCTCGAGGACCCCTTATATCCAAAATACCTAGGTGATGCGTGGGAGGTGAGTCCTGTGCAGGGGTGAGGGCTGAGGGCAGAGGTTAGGGCCAGAGGCCCGTGGGTGAGAAGGTGCAGTGCGCACCCAGCCGAAGCCGACAGTGCTGCAGGAGGTCTGCGCCGGGCAGAGCGATGGAAGGAAAGTGGCCGCGCAGACAGCTGGGCACAGGCACTCTTCCCTTCCTTAGCGGAGAGCACGGGTAGGACAGCATGGGCAGCACTCACCGGGCAGCGCACACACAGCTACACGGGAGGAAAACCGGTGAGAGGCGTCCGGTCGGGGCGCTGTCCACTGAGGCGTTTAGCGGCCCCTTTTGCTACCACTTCCCTCCCTGCCCCCAAGACACACGCCCTTCTCAAAGGCACAGGTTGGCTCCAAGTGTAGAAATTCGCTCCACTGGAAAGCTGTGGGGCCTCCTCACAGCATCACCGGGAACAGCAGTTCCAGCCCGGGAAACGATCTGAAAGCCTGACCCCATGCCATACAGAGAACCCCAGCAGCTGGGCAGGCCGGCTGCTTCCCACGGCCCACGGCCCATGGCCCCACACGCAAGCAGTGTTGTCTGTGGGCTTCCACAGGAAACGTCACAGAGGAACGTGAACACGGAGTAGTCAGAAGACAGACTCAAGTTGTCTGTGTGAACGTGAGCAGGTCACTCAGAACTCCTTTCTCTCTTTAGAGTGGTGGTGCCACCGTCCCCATCCTCGTCACAGGGTCCTCCTGAGGCCTGGACGAGGTCAGGCACGTAAAGCACTAGTGAACAAACCGAAGGCGTGACTACCTGCCCCTAGACCGTGACTCGGCGTGCGTGGAAGATCCTCCAGGCCCCGATGGGAGAGGGGAGAGGCCCCGCAGGCTCTGAACAGCCTGAGCAACGGCTCAGCTCTGAGAGAAGTGTATTTGGGGAAGCAACACACCCAGAGGTTTACCAAATCAATCATATATACGGAAGCACCGATCTTGTGTAGACGCATCTACACCCTCAGGCTCTGCTGGAAGATTTGTTTCATCAGAGGTTTGTCTCAGGTTTGTCTAGAGGACCATGAAGGAAACGCAGTAGGAATTATGCTACTTGTGAATGTAAAGCAGCACACCGTCCCGCACCATGCTCCCAGGCTGTGCCCTTCCATGTTATTGATCCTGTTCTTTAAGCCCATTTGGCCATCTGCAAAATAGGGACATAAAATGTTATCTCACTGCTTTGTTCTGAGACTTCCACAAGCCCTGCAAGATGTAATGCCTGCCTCAATGTACAACAAATAAGATGCTAAGTAATATTTTTTCTGAAGGGCAGAGGGTTAACATTCCAAGGAAGACCAAGTCAGACGTCTGCGCTTTTAAAATGAGATTTATTGTACATAAAATAAATTAATTACAGTTTAACCCAAAGCACAAGTGGCTTTTTAAAGTGCATCTGTGTAGGGGATTTGGCGGGTAGCCCCCGCATCTGGACACTCTGTAAGATAGTGTTTCTGTATTTCAGCCACCATTACCACAGCTCGGCCAGGCCTAGGAAGCAACCCCGTGTCACTGCTTCAAGCCATTTACACAAATCACCAACATCCATTGACACTTTTTTGTACCTGGTCCAACAGCTAAAAAACAAAAACAAAACAAAAAAAACGAAGGAACTATACAATCTTACAATGAGTCTGGGAGGGAAGAGTTCGAGTTCGCAGCTACTCAACACATGTCCAGGCGTTGTCCACAAGAGTTCACAGCTCTTGTGGTCAGTGATGGAACACCCCCAGCCGTGTGCGGACAGCCAGCGCCCCCCGCAGAGCACGCTTCACAGCCGCCTGTGCACAGAGTATTTTGGCCCATAAACCTGCGCCCTTCGGGGGAACAGATTCTTTCCCCCTTGTTCTTCAAAGAAGAAATCTGGGAACCCTTCAGGTTGGAAAGGTATTCTGTAAGGACAGTGTTCTGGAGGGCAAACCATGTTGGTCGCAATTCTTCCTTCTGGGAGGAAGCAAAAGCAGCGGGAGGGGAGAAAAGGAGCCCTGCGAAGACTTGCTCTGCTGTCCCGTGGCCACCGTCAGCCGCACTGTGTTACACTGCACCCGACCATCACTGGCAAGGCAGTTCAGGACAAAAGCAAGAGTGCCCTCCCCACTGCGGAGGACAGGACACAGACAGGCCGCGCGCCGAGAGGGGCTCAGGCGCTCACGCAGGCTCCATCCCTCTGTCCCCGGCTTGCACCGCGCTTCCTTTCCTGCAGCAGCTCACAGGACCGCTGGGCCCTTCCGCTCCAGCCCTTCCTGGAACCACGGACCACCACCGACACCCAAGTTCCCACCTAGAGGCACGTGTGGGCCTCCTCCCGGAAGACCAAACCCCCTGGGCAGTGGCACTTCACACAGAGGTGACGGTCCTCACTTTGGCAGACAGCGCCTGCTTGAACCTTCTCTTCAGGTCCTGCATGTTGGGGGACTTGGGCCGGGGAATGAGCGAGGTCCTCCGCTTCTCGGGCGCGCTGCTGGGCTGCTGTCTGTGACTCACTTCTTTGCACAGGACGTGGAAAGCGTTACAGACATCGCTGTAATTTTCGCTGACGGACACCTCACAGAAGGAGCAGCCCAGCACGCCGGCCAGCTGCAGTCCGAGCTGAGGGTCAACCTGCTTGATGTGCAGCAGGTCAGCTTTGTTAGCCACGAGCACCACAGGCAGCCGGCTGCCCAGGTGGAGCTGCTGGACGTGCTGGTGGAGCTGGCCAATGAGTTCATAGCTCTTGTGGTCAGTGATGGAAAAAACGATCACCACAGCGTCTGCCCACCGGATGCACCGATTCAGCTGCTCGCTGCAGCTCAAGCCGTTCTCGTGGGCCTGGAAGAGAGGGGACGGCAAGGGGAATGGTGCGGGCGTGCCAGCGCACTGCTGGGTGGACGCTGGACTCAAAAGGGCCCTTCACAGGAACGCCGGTTGCAAGTTACAAACACGTTCTCTCCCTACACTCCAGCTTTCTGGACAATATGTTGATCCAGCTGCACAGAGTTGGAATAAATAACAGTGCAGCTCACCACACTCAAGTGGAAAATTGACCTGCAGAGAACTCCATGCAGAGAGACTTTGTAGTTGCACAAAATGGGAAATTAACTGGCTAGACAGTAAGTCTGGGGAAGTCAAGATAGGAGCTGGAAGCATTTAAACCTGGATAACTGCCCAGTTTGGAAGAAAAAAAAAAACCACTAACATGGCTCTTCTGTCTATAGAGTAACTTTCCACAACATAAAAGTGATTCCAAGTATTTGAAACTATACCTCAACACTTGGGCTTTTAATGCCACAGACATGTATGTAAAACCGATCTTTTTAATGACAGCGAGGAGACTGCCAGCGCCAAGTGTTTGGTTTGGTCTTTCCTGCTGTGCCGGATCCTCCCCACAGAAGGGTTCTGTCCGTCCGCCAAGTCTCCCAGACGGAGCCAGGCGCAGCCGACCAACAGCCAGATACAACTGAAGGGTCCCGCGATCTATAAAAGCCCAGCCCTGACTCCCCGGGCCTCCTCCTTTAGCAAGAGCTGCCCGGAGAACTGAGCCACTCCACACCCAGCAGAGCTCCCGTCTGATGCAGTTACAGTCCGAGGTGCTCACCTGAATGCCTGGGGTGTCCTGAACCTGGATGGCCACGGTCTCCCCTTCTATCTGGACCTGTCTGGTGTAGAGATTACCTGCGGAGGCAAAGAAAGAAAGACTGCACTTTTCCTTCATGTGTGACTTTACAACACTGTATGGGTTTTTCTTCATATTAGGAAACATGCAGCCTGCACAAATATACAAAAGGAAGATATAGTTTATTTCTACTTAGTGGGCTTATTTAAAAATGTTTTTAAGACCAACTGAGATTTTAACCCCATGTTTAATTACATTATTAAAGCTAGAGCAGTTTGTGAGTTTTTGAAAACCTTGTCTAACTTTAAATAAAGTTTCCATATTTGGATTATTTCCTTGAAGCAGTTTTTTGTTTTTGTTTTTGTTTTTTGACAGGGTCTCACTATGTAGTGTAGGCTGGCCTCAAACACTTGGCGATCGTCCTGCCTCAGCCTCCCGAGTGCTGGGATTACAGGTGTGCACCACCTGCCCCTTCAGCCTTGAAGCAAATATTCTTGCTGTGGCATGAGTGGAATTTGTTTTATTTTAGTACATTATCACTCTTTGATCCTAAGCTTATATTTTGGCCACGAGATATGCCTTGGTAGGCAAATTGGTTAGTAAAAGCACAGCTCACATTATCAGCTGGAACAGAATATGACATGATAATTAACTACATCAAAGCAGAAGCTCCTTCCTTGGAGTGGGTTATAGAGCGCCAACGGAGACTCGCCCATGGGCAGCACTCCACCCAGGCTGCTAGGGCAGAACGCCCCTGAGCCTCCCCACTGGCTACTCTCGGCCACGGGGACTGAAGTGCCTGCCCTCCACCTGTTCAGGAGCTCTCCTGAGCTCTCCGTGGAGCTCTCTTTCTCCGTTAGGAGCAAGGAACTTCGGGTTTGTAACTGTTCTCCCTGGCCTTTGCTGGGAAAGGTCACCTCTGGAGAGCAGCCAGCGGAGAGCGAGGGCGGGGAGGAGCCGCCAGAGCTTTTCCGGCTCCTGCGGACGGCTTCGCGGGAGAGGCCCTGCAGCACAAAGCGTGCTTCCGACGGGGCCCTGCGGTTAGCGCACCGCAGCGGGGTCGTTCAGGCGCTCGACGAAGGGATGCACGGCCGGGAGGGAAGGGGGCGGACGGCAGCTGCGGGACGGCGGGCGCGCGGGGCGGGGGGACCGTCCCGGGCCCTGCGGGAAGGCCCGGGGCGCCGGCCGGCAGCGCTCCACTCCCGCCTGCTCACCTGCGTTTCTCTCGTAGTCCCCGATGAACCGCCTGGTGAGGAACCGGACGACCAGCGCTGCGGGGCGGAGGAGAGGACGGGGAGAGTCACCGGCGTCGGGGCGGCCCCGCGGCTCCCGCCCCCTCCGTCCCGCGCGGCCCC